CTAGCGGCGTTCAATTAAAATTCTTCATTTAATTTTCATACAGTGTACTGTATAAATTATATATCGATTAGGCCCCACACATGTATGAAACTGAACAAGGTTAATGAAAATGGAACGCGTTCCACTTATGCCCAAACAAAGACAAAATAAATAAATTCTGCAATGTTATAAGACTGATGTTTTTTGATCAAGATAAAATGTACCAATATTTATAGAGATATCAATAAATAGAGATAACAATTAATAAATTATACTTATACCTTAATCAATTAATAATGTACTATTATTATTATATTTTTGCACAATGACAATAGACATTTAATGTTATATCACAAGACATTATTATAACAGTTGATTAAAAGTATGTTTCATTATTATGTTGTAAACTATTTACTAGTAATATAACGTCATTACCACGATTTGTATTACACTATATTACAGTAATATTTACTTTTACCTATTTATTAATAAACGACTTTGGAATGTATAAATATTTTTAATAAGCATAAAACACATTGATAGAAATATTAGCTATAAAATTATTAGTAAACATGTTAATTATTAAATAGTTAAAATAAAAAATGTAAATTATTTTAAATTGTTTAAAATCTATTTCATTTATAAGATTTATTGTTTGATGTTAACAGTTGAAAAATAAATATACAAAAATATATTATATTAACTGATTAAATATCATGATAACAAATAAACACAACTACATAGCAGGTAGTTAACATTGGTTGCTAACATTGTTATTTACAGTAATTAATAAAATTGTGTAATAGTAAAGGTGTATGGGGAAATGATAATATAATAGCTTATACATTTATAATAATATTAATATAACTTTAATTTAAAATTTAATGCTCTTAAATCAAGGTAAATAGGTCTCGTTGTTTTATACAGTATATAAAACATGCGTGGTTGCCGTAATCATGTTACATACTACAAATCAATCATTGTATTATTATTCGTTTATATATTGATAATTATTTAATTTATAATGGGCCTGATCACAGAGAGCATAATATTATTATCTTGGTAAAATTTCCCTTAATATGCTTCAATACTTTAAATTATTAAATTAAATACTCTAAATTAATTTCTGTAATATTTTAAAACAAGGTGTTATAATATATAACAATTATTGTAATTTTTAATTAACTGGCTAAAAATGTGTTACGTGCTGCTTTTACTTTAAATAATAAATATGGATTATTAGAAATAATTTACATTTCAATAAATGGAATTACTTTACAAACTGTATTCTTTGCATTTTATATATCAAATGTTAAATATTGCTAAATTAAAATTTTAATTAATGTGTATTTAATGGGCGAGAAATGATTATAATATCATTATAATGAAAATAATATGATTTGTTACATAAATAGTAAACAAGCTCTTCTTTCTGATCTCGTAACTTTATCAATACATTTTATTTTAGTAAATTGGAAATTAATATTTTCCATTTATTAACTAATATTATTAAAATTATTGTGTTCAATCTCAAATACAGTAAAAAATTATCCAGTAAAAATACAACTAGAGATAATTTCAAAATTTTCTTTTTAACACAATTCAAAATTTGCTAGATTTTTATCTGGTTAAATTTTATTTATAAAGTTTGTTAAATAGCTCAAAGTAATTTTTAAAATATATCGTAAGTGTAAGAAATAATTGTTATCAATTAATGTTACCATATGTTAATTTTATAGAAAATTCAATTACAAATGATATAGTTAAATTCATAACAACACTATCTTTTAATAAGAAAACAATTAATTAACAAAAATAAATTTAGAGAGAGAGAGAGAGAGAGAGAGAGAGAGAAATTCATTATAGTTACAATCACTGGTTCATGACATGGATTTAAAATGGGAAATATTTTTACCATGTAAATATACTTTTTTAGAGAGAGAGAGAGAGAGAGAGAATTTATGTGTAAATTAATTCAGTATTTTGTTTGTGAAAAACTGTACTAAAATATTGGAATGAAAAATATGTAAATATAAAGTTTTAGTACCCTAAAATTCCGTGCATTACCCGCACCCATGTATAACCCGCACTTCAAAAATTTGTGATATTTAAAAATAAAAAAGCTACCTATAGATAACCCGCACCCCATGTATAACCCGCATGTAAAATGTGTATTATACGATAATTTGCCCTATCGCGTTTTTACATATGAAAGCATTGTAATAGTATACCATTTTAAACACGTGTCTCGGTAATGTGAATTTAGCAAACGCGATTGTTTTCTAAAATGTTTTAAGTATACTTTATATTTATATAATCAACAATTCATTTTCTTTAAAATTCTTTCAAAATTAACTAAACTTTTAAAATTATAGTAGTTTTTATGATATAACTTGCATTGAAGCAATGGTAATTAATGAGGCAAAGTATCGCATACACCCTTTACAAACAATTCAATATTTCGTAGTTTAAAACCTGTTTCTGTTGACACAAAAACATGTGCTTTTATAATGAGTTTTGATTTCATATGATTCTATACCTATAACAAAACCTCCTTTGGAGGAACCCTCTCTATAGCGAACACTTTTGCCGTGCGACTGGCCGTTTATTATGAAGAAGTTGCACTGTATTAGATCTGCATTTGAAATAGATTTTGATTTTGACGGATTTGATTAACTTTTATTGTAATTATATTCATTTATTGAATAAAATTTTTATTATTAAGAAGTAATAATTCTGAAATATTTTTGCAATAGATAACCCGCACCCCATGTATAACCCGCACTCAAATATTTTCCAAAAATTTGACTTTTTCCTATGTATAACCCGCGGGTAATGCACGGAATTTTAGGGTAATTAATAAATAATAAGTATTTCCCAAAGTATTTCTATATGTATTGCAATACATGTAGTTTCTAATGAATTCATTATATGAATAATGTATAATTGTAGATAGTTGAGCGCCTCTAACGACTTTAAACTATTCTTATTCAATTTACATGTCATTTGCCAGATAAATACGAGCATTCATTATAGTTACAATCACTGGTTCATGACATGGATTTAAAATGGGAAATATTTTTACCATGTAAATATACTTTTTTAGAGAGAGAGAGAGAGAGAGAGAGCACTACAAATTATTTAAAAGAATATTGTATTTATGTTTTGATATAATGTCCAATAATTAAATGCTGATAAAAATAGTTTATATATAAGTGTTTATTTCAAATCACGATTAATTTTTGTTTTATTAAGCCAGGTAATTTAAAAATACTGAATCCAAGAATAGTTTCCAAAAACAATTGTAAAAATAACAACTTATGTAAATTACATTTTATTTAAATAATACTACAGTGTGTTAAATAGTTAGTTAATAGCTGCAAAAAGTTTAAAATAACTATTTTTTAACCATACATCAAAATAACTACCTTGATCATACGTGATCTACATAGATTAAACTACAAAAATATCCTGGATTAATTTAACTTATCTACCGGTATAGTTTTGTACTTTAATCATAAATGTACTTTTAGTTATAACAGATAATTACAACAGAAATTCACATTACATATAAAAACCCAAACACTTTACATTAAAATTCAAGGCAAGTGTTTAGTAACACAAACCAAAACGCAATGTTTAAAACATTACTACTTGTATCAGTACTCGCATACCTGTGCCGGGGGTCGGAGGCCTACCTGACGGTAAAGGGCCGGGAGTTTCACTATAACGGCCAACAGGTGTTCCTATCGGGCGCTAACATAGCCTGGAGTTCGGAGGATTTGGGCCACGACTGGGGAAATGGCAAGTATTGGGAGCACAGGGCGAAAATGCGTGAGTGGTTGGCCGGCATTCACTCGCACGGCGGGAATGTGGCCCGAGTTTGGCTACACTTTGGCGGCGCTATTTCGCCCGAGTTTGACGCCCAGGGATACGTTGTGGGCACTGATAAGCAAAATGATTTGGTCAAAGAGCTACAGGCGCTCATGGATGACGCCCAGGCCAACAACGTGTTTATTATATTGTGCATGTTTACCAGTAAGCTTGGCCATTTTGTATACATTTATTGAGTTGAGTTAATGTTATTTAATATGCAAACATTTTTGTGTTTGTTTCAATTGTTTTACTCAATAGACAGTATTTATGCGAAAGACTCGGGTTTTATAACCGATGAGAAAAAAATTCAGTCATATCTGGACAAAGCGCTCGTACCTATGGTTCAGGGGCTCAAAGGTAGATGTTATATAATTAAATTACGTGATTAATAATGCACATTCCGGGGCCAATGATATGCTAATAGGAAAGAAAGCGTTGGCCGCGTGGGAGATAGAGAACGAACCGGAGGGTGCGATGGATATATGGACCAAAGAGACTGACCCTCACACCTGTTTCGACATTTATCGGTGGCAAAAAAGTAACAAAAACATGGGCTATGAGTCCAGACATCCCATTAAACGGTATGTTATTTCAGCTTAATTTTTGGGATATTTATAAATTTTGGGTTAATTTGAATGTAATCTACTATACAATTGAATCATAAGAATCCTGCGGTTCTTCAACTGGATCTCGTCAACGATCCACACGACAGACCCGTCAGCGCTGGTATCGGTGGGCACATGGAATCCCAAGACCAGCACTGGTCAGTGCGACCATTGTTTCAATCTATATCAGGATCAGTGTCTGGTCGCTGCGGGCGGTAAAGCCAATGGTGTGCTGGACTTCTATCAGATGCACTCGTATGAGTGCGGAGCTGAACATCCCATCAAACGTACGGCCGAACAGTACTCACTCGACAAACCCCTTATGGTCGGCGAGTTCTCCACCAAAAGGTCCTGTATGCCGGACTCGGCTCAGGTGTATAAACACTACTACTTTGGCGGTTACGCCGGGTGTATGGCCTGGCAGTACAACGATCATCACGATAATGACCGCGACTCCAGGGATGTTATTAATCATGGTATGGATAGCATTAGACACGAGACGAGTAATGGTGTGATCGATGTTAAAATATAACCACTTATTTATGTATGATATGTACAATCTATTGAATGAATAAATTAAATATTATTACGTTTAATAAAACAATAGTTTAGTTTATATTCTAGTCTTGATAATAATAATAATTGTAAAATTATAAAATATATTTCAGCTATTATTAAATTCAATTAAAATGTGTGACTACATGACCATCCAAGAAATTGTACCCATTATCACACATGCCATCAAGCATTTACTAAAGTAGTGACAATAAGCATTAGACATTGTTGATCTCATTTTTAAGAGGATGGTACAAATTATTGATAAAATTTACTACGAGATTGATAACAATCTCGTTTACATCTTATATTTATATATAAGAAATATACTATACATTATAATATATAATGATTATATAATATTGAAGTGAATCATACATTATATTGATTATACATTATTTATAAGAATTTCACTAATGTTTTATAATAATACTAATGCGACACTTCAATTCAAACTAGAAATCAACATGACCATTCCAGTGAATAACTCATTTGTTAATTGCAATATGAATTAGATATAAAGTACATTCACTTGAATATTAAATGTTAATAAGAAATCTTTCTTACTATGCATGTACTTTAAGATTGTTAATAAATACTAAGAAGTTCTAATAAATAAATACCAATAAATTCTAAGAAATATATTGTTGTGACCCAAGCAAAGCAAGCATATTCGTTCTAAGAATCCCTAAATATACAAACGTCTCAATATGTATTTAGAACATTTCACTAAATAAACTAAACAATATGAAATAACAAATTATCATCATCAAACAAAAAATATTCCGGATCAGCAATATCCTGAAAAGGTTTTTTCACCTTTCTAAATGAGTATATATAAGGCCCATCAAAAACACAAAATGATCATTACAATTATAATTGAACATAATAATTAAAACTACAACAAATCAACAATGTTGAGAATTACTTTGGTTGTATTATTGGTGATCCAGTGCGCCTACAGCCTACCTGCACAGTGTTCGGTCACCCAGTTCTTGGGCTCGATTGCAAGTGACCCTGCACACGATTTGCTAAATGACCCTTGCGCAAAAAAGTCCCGCGACGACGCCGGTAAATGTCTTATCCAGAAAATCCCGGACATTGACCCACACAGTACTGACCCAAAGTACATATGTTGTGTCACTTGGGTTGCCAGCGATTGTCTGGCCTCGGCTGGCAAGGTTAGTTTTTAATTAAATATATTATTTATATTTAAACTAATAAGTATTTATAAAATTTGTTATAAACATCTAGATCGACTGTACCGCCGCTGAGTTTGCTGCTCTGAGAAAGATCCTGGACGAGATTACTGCTCTAGGTGATGCCGGTGCGTGCAAGGCTTACCCCTATCACAGCGGCATTCAGACTTGTGCCAAATAGATTAAATTACTATTTGAATAAAATTATTTAATAAATAATATTATACTCAAATAAAATAATATTTTCTTGCGTTAATTGTATTATGTATTGTTGATTTTGTTATCTAAGTTACAAGTTTATTATACTGTATTTGCTTCCTTGTATCCTACTCTCTCTCTCTCTCTCTCTCTCTCTCTCT